TTTGAATGATTTTTCTACCTTTGAAAGGCATATAATAACATTAAGAAAGCTTTCAAGATTTATTCTGTGAGTCTGGATTTTTTTAAATAGTTGGTAGCTGTTTACAGAAAGGACTAAAAATTTCAGTGAAACCATTTTGCAGGATCTAGAAGGATGATAAAATCTATTAAAACATCAAAATTAAGTTTAACTAATGTGTATTGTGTTAATTTTTTTATTGTAAAGGGTTTACGTGTTATGAAGCTGTTCAGTATGATTTTTTAGTCTTTCTAAATATGACAGTGTGACTGAATTTTCTTTAGTATAGTTTGGGTTCACCAGAGGCAATAAATCAAAGTTGATGCTGGAGAAAGCAAAGTAGATTATTAAGTAGTTCTTAAAATGTTTATTCATAGTACAGCATTCCTTATGTCTCCATAACAAATTACTCTTTTGGTTATTTGAAAGCAAAATAGTTCTGTTAATAAAAAACAAAGAGGGGCGCCTGGGTGGCTCAGTCGTTGGGCGTCTGCCTTTGGCTCAGGTCATTCCAGGTCCTGGGATCGGGCCTGCATTGGGCTCCCTGCTTGGCGGGAAGCCTGCTTCTCCCTCTCCCACTCCCCCTGCTTGTGTTCCCTCTCTCGCTGTGTCTCTCTCTGTCAAATAAATAAATAAAATCTTAAAAAAAATAAAAAACAAAGAAATTACTCTTGAAGTATACTAGGGTTTATGAAAGGATATCTTTCTGCAAGATAAAGCTTAATGTTCTTAAAAATATTTCGAATTCATTTTTAAAATAGCAATATTTCTTTTTTAAAGAATATTTTTCTATCTGATAACTCTTAGGAAGCAAACAGTACATCTGTTTGATTTGCCTTGTTGCATACATTATCAAGAACATTGGGGCATAAGGGTACAGTGGTTTCCGTTTTTCTTCTAACACTGTATTTTTTTTAATTATAGGAATGCTAGGTGTAGAAAATTGAGGAAATCCTATGCAAAGAAAATAGAAAATGGCTAATAATGCCACCAGTTAAAATTCTTTTAAAATCATTTGTTCAAATATTTGAATATCTGCTCTGTACTTGTGTACCATTCTACATATTTGGGATATGAAAGTGAATTTTAAAAGTTCTTGTTCTCAGAAATTGAGACTAGTCAGGTTATAGTTTTATCACAATTACTATATTCTGATACAAATATATTTATTTTTTTTCCAAATGTAAAGATTTGTTTTCTACTGGGGGAAGAAGGATAAATAGAACTATTTTCCAATTTGCTGTCCACTGTATACACATATACCCACACACATACATAAACATACACACACCAAAAATACCCCAACAAAAAAACAAAACAGAAAACTGAGAATCAAAGACCAAAACACCCTCAAACTGCACCAATACGTCGTATTTTGACCGAAAGAATAGGTCCTGGGAGGAAGTGCAAAATGCAAAATCAAATGACCGAAAAATGCTGAACAAACAGCATTATTAATATACAAAATATTTATATTACTGAACTAGTAACAGTTGATGTTCTCCATGTCTGTAAAACTTTGGAACCACATAGCTGATTTGTTAAATCTAGTCCATGCCAGCTTCCAAACACCGGAAAAAATTTTAGTTAGCTTCATTCTTTGATGCCTCATCAAAATTTTCTACGAGATCTGGAACATCATCATCCTCTTCATCAGTGTCTTCTGGTTTTGGTGCTTTGCTATCCAACACTTACCGAGGGAACTGTTCAGCTAACTTCCTAAGACTTGTTAAGCTGTCAGCACCAAGCGGACTTAATATTCCAGGAAGCATTTCTGTGATTGGTTTGGCTTCTGCATAACCAGTAAGTGCAAAGGTGTTAGCAGAAAGGGAAGCTTGGACTTTGGGATTGTTGAAATGAATAACTGTCCCATCATCTTTAATCATGTTCACCTCTTCAATACCAGCTATATTATTCACAGCCAGTTTTTTTAGAGAACTCTGAAGTTTTTTGTCATCAGCCGAAGCTGTTCTATGTACCACCTTCTTTCTGCGAGCTGTACCCTTGTCCCCTATCCAGACCTGAGCCTGAAGTTTGGCTAACTTTTCTTGATTCACGCTGTTGGTAAATCTGAAGCAGGGAGGGTCCTCCAACAACAACACGCGGCAAGAGCAAGATCCAAATATGACATTTAAATAGTAAAACTTAGGCATAGAATCTTGTGGCAAGGCAGTAGTGTAATTATTATTATACATTATAGGTAAAGAGTAGTCCCCAGTGAAAAATAATATCAGCGTATTTGTGATTGTGCAGGGCCTGAGATAGTTAAGTAATGATTATGTATTCCCCTCCCCCCAACACTGGCTATTTATTGAATGCCTGTTATGTGCCAGGCTGTTCTAGATGGCAACAATATAGCAGTGAACAAGACAAGTGGGATCCCTGCTCTTAAGGAGTTTACATGCTGTGGGGGCGGGGAGGAGAGAGAAACAATAAACAGGTAAGCAGATTAATGAAAAGGATAATGACATGCCAGGAAGAAAATAAGATGATGCGGTCAGATCTTAATCGTCTGTTATACTGGTGACTAAAGTCTACAGCTGGTCCTCACATTTCCTTTCAGCCATTAGTTTGTCTTCTTCACCAGGAAAACTTTTAATTAATACTGCCAAAGAGAAATAGTGGCATCTCTGGTTCCTGTCCTTTACCTTATCCTTTCCTGGAGGTTTCTTACTCAGTGAAATTGCTAAACAGCAAAAATTGGAAGGAATTTAGAGGAGAAGCAAGGCATCTGGCAAATCATTTCTCAGATAATTTGTCTTTTCATGAAGCTGAGAGTTTTTTCAGTTTGTACCTGTCAGTATCTCAGCAGTACTTTTCGTACGTTCTGAGTTAACAAAAACAAACCCTCCCAGTTATTAGGAGGGAACAAGGGCAAATGATTTTATCGATCCTTACGGAATTTGCAGTTTTATTGTCAAGTTTCTCATATTTCTTCAAAGAACTATGATCTGTGTCATAAAGAACTCTTGATTTGTAACTTAGCTGATTAAACATCTCTACAATTGATGTGTAAGACTTTTGTGCCCTGCCTGCTTTCTTTGGTACATAAGAATTTGGAGTGTGACTCATGACTCATCAGTTGACGTTGTGGTACGTTTTTAGAAACAATGCAACAGCAGATTTCCCTTAAGCAGCAGTAGTGGAAGTGAATACAAGAAAACACAAATGGGCCTATCTTTGTGGGTGGTATTACAGTTGTATGTTAACTTGATTCTTGGAAGTGTGTTACAACACCTGACATCTCAATGAGTTTGAATAGAATAGGTATAAACTGTGTATGTGTCTTGCAACAAAATTCTTAGTATTTTTGTTATGTGGTAACTGCATTTCTCCCATTTTTATGGTATGCACTCACTTTGCAGATAAATACAGTACTTAATATTTAGGCTTGTGTTTTACTTATTTGTGAAACACAGAGATGAGACACAGAGATGAAGAAAAAGCACAACACTTGGGCACAACACTTCATTTTAGTGCTCCATAATATTGTGATTTTTGATGACCATGTCTTGTTGGCTTACTTTGCTTTTTAATTTTAGTCATGTATAATCATACCCAAGCTTGGCTATGTTCTACTTTATTTCCTTTAGTACATGCTCCTGCCATGGTATACTTGCATACGCATATAAGTCAACCTGCACAGGGGCACCTGGCTGGCTCAGTTGGAAGAGCATGTGACTCTTGATCTCGGGTCATGAGTTTGAGCTCTACACTGGGTGTAAAGATCACTTAAAAATAAATAAATGAACTTTAAAAAAAGAGTCAATCTGCACAAATAGATATTTTATGAAAAAGAAGCCTCACTCCCACTCCTGTGTCCCAGCCACTCAGTTCCTTCAGAGTGGACTACTATTAGTAGTAGTAGTTAGTAGTAGTATATCCCTCTAGACATATTTTGTGCATAAAAGTTCATGTGTGTATCTATAATGGACAGATGTTTTTAAACACATACTGTTTTTGGGGTGCCTAGGTGACTTAGTTAAGTGTCTGACTCTTGATTTCAGCTCAGGTCTCAATCTCAGGGTCCTGAGTTCAAGCCCCTCGGATTAAAAATAATAATAAATACATACATACTGTTCTGTATCTTGATTTAAATTAGCTCAAAATTTGTTTTAATTTATTCTTCTTTTTGAAATTCAGTTTTTGATTTGTTTGCTGATCTCACCTGAATTGTATTACCTTAAAAAAGTGTTTATCTCTTGAAGAACACATATTACCATGCAGGGGTTTTCTCATCTGGTTACAATTATAGAAAAAAGGATTATGTGACCTTTTTTTAAAACTATAAATCATGACCCTGTTGTTTATGCTTTTTTAAAGGGATAGCTAAACATAATAAAAATTTAGTCATCTTGATAACTTTTTTACTAGGTTCCTTTGATCTAGCAAATACAGTACAACCATGGAAGAATATCTATTTGGTTCATTTTAAATTTTGCTAAAAAGCTTGGTTATTAGGGAATATTGTAGTACAAATTACGCTGAATTAATAATTGTTTAACAAATCTTCTTGCTAATCATAAATGTCTTGGTGCATTTTACAGTGTTGATCAATTCTGCAGGTTGTACCTTTACTGTATTAATGTTTGTAGTGGGCACTCTTAGGATAGCTTTCATTTTGAGAAGTGTTGAGTGCATCCATTTTATTCTAAGAAGGGGAAGGGGAAAGGTGGTCTTTTCCTTGAGTCCATTTAGGATATGATATTGATCTGGAGGGACAAAAAAGTAAATTATTTTCAGTAGTTTAAGTGTATCACCCTAGAGGCTTTAATTTTTTCACTGTTAAACTGCCTTCCCTTTGGGTGTGAAACATAATGGGCAGAATAGTAGAACTGCCAATATTAATCATTATAATAACTACCATTTGAGTGACTACTCTGGCTGTCACTCTGCTAGGAGCTTTAAATTTTCATTCAGTTGTTAATTGTGACAGTAATCCCATGAGGTCACCACTTTGCATTGAAGGAACTGGAGTTCAGAAAGTTTGAGAGATAATATACGATTTGGACAAAGGTAAGTGGTTACCTATGATTGGTAATCATACTTACTTGATCTGAAAGCCATTACTCTTTACTAAGTTGTTTCTCTGAAAAGATAAAGTTCTGATAGAGCCCTAATTGTTTTTTCCTTTTTGGTGAAGAGCATTTCATAGATCATTTTTGTTTCAGCCATATAGTTGACCAAAGAAGAGGTAGGTTTCAAGTGTAAAAGGTCATAGACCTATTCTAGGACTCATAATGAGATGATTTTTCAAAAGAAACTAAGTGGGATTGTTTTGCTATAATGCAGTTGTTGAATGATTTTACAGAAACTGTGGTTTTAATTCTAAAACCTGAAAGAGAAAAGTTGATTGCTGACTTATAAGTGAGATCATACAGTATTTGTCTTTGATTTATTTCACTTAGCATAATACTCTCAGGGTCCATCCATGTAGTTGCAAATGGCAAGATTTCATTCTTTTTTATGGCTGAATAGTATTCCTCTGTGTGTGTGTGTGTGCGTGTGTGTGTGCGTGGGCGTGCATGCGCGTGCCCACACATTTTCTTTATCCCTTCCTCCTTAAGTGGATACTTAAGATTATTTCCGTACCTTGGCTATCATAAATGATACTGCAGTGAACATGGGGTGCATATATATTTTCAAATTAATGTTTTTGTTTTCTCCAGATAAATACCCAGAGGTAGGGGCCCCTGGATGGCTCAGTCATTAAGCGTCTGCCTTCGGCTCAGGTCATGATCCCAGAGTCCTGGGATCGAGCCCCACATCGGGCTCCCTGCTCAGCGGGAAGCCTGCTTCTCCCTCTCCCACTCCCTCTGCTTGTGTTCCCTCTCTCGCTGTGTCTCTCTCTGTCAAATAAATAAATAAAATCTAAAAAAAAAAAAAAAAAATACCCAGAGGTAGAATTGCTGTATCATATGGTATTCCTATTTTTAATTTTTTGAGGAACCTCCATATTGTTCCACTGTGGATGCACCAGTTTACATTGCCACCAGCAGTGCACAAGAGTTCCCTTTTCTCCACATTCTTGCCAATACTTGTTATTTTTTATCTTTTTGATATTAGCCATTCCAGCAGGTGTAAAGTAATATCTCATTGTGTTTTTTATTTGCATTTCCCTGATGATAAGTGATGTTGAGCATCTTTTCATGTGTCTGTGGCCATCTATATGTCGTCTTTGGAAAAATGTCTATTCAGATCTTCTGCCCATTTTTAAATTGGATTGTTTGGTTTTTTTGCTATTGAGTTGTTAGGAGTTCTTTATATAATTTAAGTTATTAACTGCTTATCAGATACACGATTTACAAAGAATTTCTCCCATTCCATAGGTTATGTTTTCATTCTGTTGGTGGTTTCCTTTGCTGTGCAGAAGCTTTTTAGTTTCATATAGTCCCACTTGTTTATTTTTGCTTTTGTTACCATTACTTTTAGTGTCAGAGCCAAAAAAATCATCACCAAGACAAATGTCAGGGAGCTTACCACCTATGTTTTCTTCTAAGAGTTGTAGAATTTCAGATCTTATGTTCCAGTCTTTAATTCATTTTGAGTTAATTTTTGTGTATGCTGTAAGACAGTGGTTCATCTGCATTCTTTCGTATTTGGCTGTCTTATTAGCTGACAGCACTTATTGAAGAGACTGTCCTTTCCCCGTTGTGTATACTTGGCTCATTTGTCATAAAGTAATTGGCCATATATGCGTGTGTTTATTTCTGGGCCCCCTATTTTGTTCCATTCATCTACCTGTCTGTTTTTAAGCTAGTACCATACTGTTTTGATTACTGTAGCTTTGTAATATAGTTTAAAATCAGGAAGTGCGATGTCTCCAGCTTTTTCCTTCTTTCTTAAGATTGCTGTAGCTATTCAGGATTTTTTGTGGTTACAAATTTTAGGATTGTTTGTTCTCTTTCTATGAAAAAATGGCATTGGAATTTCAAAAGGGATTACATTGAATCTGTATGTTACTTTGAGTGGTATGGCCATTTTAACAATATTCTTCTAATCTATAAGCATTGAATATTTTTTCATTTATTTGTGTGTTTCATCAATTTCTTACAATTTTAGTTGTATCTGGGCTTTCATTTCCTTAGTTGAATTTATTCCTAGGTATTTTATTTTTTCTGATAAATGGGATTGTTTTCTTAATGTCTCCTTGATAGTTCATTATTAGTATATAGAAACAAAACAGGTTTTTGTAATTGATTTTATATCCTGTCACTTTATTGATTTTGCTTATTCTAACAGTTTCCTGGTAGAATCTTGAAGGTTTTATATATAAAATATCATGTCATCTGCATTTAGTGACAGTTTTACTTCTTCACTTCAATTTGGGTGCCTTTTTTTTTTTTCTTGCCTAACTGCTCTCGCCAGGACTTCAATGCTATGTTGGATAAAAGTGGCAAGAATGGGCATCTTTGTTTTGTTTCTGACCTTAGAGGAAAAAGCTTACAGCTTTTCATTGTTGAGTGTGATGTTAGCTGTAGACTTGTCATGTATGGCCTTTATTATGGTGAGGTACATTCTCTCTGTATTCCCTTTGTTGAAAGTTTTTATCATAAATGGATATTGAATTTTGTCACATGTGTTTTCTGAATCTGTTGAGATGATCAGGTGGTTTTTACCCTTCATTTTATTTAAATGATCTATCACATTGATTTGTGGAGTTGAGCCATCCTCACATACCTGGAATAAATCCCATTTGAACATGATGTATAATTTTTTTAATGTGTTGTTTAATTTGGTTTGCTGATGTTTTACTGAGGATTTTTGCATCTATGTTTATTGGGGATATTGTCCTCTAATTTTCTTTGCTTGTGGTATCCTTGTCTGGTTTTGCTATCAGGGTAATACTGGCCTCATAAAATGAATTTGGAAGTGTTCCATCCTCTTCTGTTTTTTGGAAGAGTTGAGACTGGTATTAATTTTTCTTCAAATGTTCAGTAGAATTTACCAGTGATACCATCTGGTCCTGGACTTTGTTTTTTTGGGAGATAGTAATTGCTTCTTTTCAGAGATTGGCACCTAAAAAGTATATTTACCTTGACTGTTGTAATGAGCTTTCAGTAAAAGGACTCTGATTTTATTTTGTTTTATCAAATCTTTCTCATAACGATACTTAGTGAGATGTTTACCTGCACGGTTTGTGTATTTATTCTGTATGGTGTTTTTGGACAAAGAATCCCCCCCCCAAACCTCCGCATTAAAATTTGATTTAAAAAATGGCAGTTTAGGTGCAAGCATAAGAAATAGGTTACTACAGGGCGCCTGGGTGGCTCAGTTGGTTAAGCGACTGCCTTTGGCTCAGGTCATGATCCTGGAGGTCTGGGATTGAGTCCCGCATCGGGCTCCCTGCTCGGCAGGGAGTCTGCTTCTCCCTCTGACCCTCTCCCCTCTCATGCTCTCTCTCTATCTCATTCTCTCTCTCAAATAAATAAATAAAATCTTTAAAAAAAAAAAAAAGAAATAGGTTACTACAAAAAAGAGTAACATTGAGGGCGCCTGGGTGGCTCAGTTGGTTAAGCGACTGCCTTCGGCTCAGGTCATGATCCTGGAGTCCTGGCATCGAGTCCCGCATCGGGCTCCCTGCTCAGCAGGGAGTCTGCTTCTCCCTCTGACCCTCTTCCCTCTCGTGCTATCTCTCATTCTCTCTCTCTCAAATAAATAAATAAAATCTTTAAAAAAAAAAAAAAGAGTAACATTTTCATAGCTTAATGTTCTTCATAGTGACCCTTGGAGTGTTAGGCTTTCTTTTTTTAAAAAGTTTTATTTGTGGAATAATAGAGTTTTTTTACTTTTATGTTATTAAAATACTTAAATGGTAGAACACTAGATAATAGGGGCACCTGGGTGGCTCAGTCACTAAGCATCTGCCTTCAGTTCAGGTCATGATCCCGGGGTCCTGGGATCGAGCCCTGCATCGGGCTCCCTGCTCGGCGGGAAGCCTGCTTCTCCCTCACCCACTCCCTCTGCTTGTGTTCCCTCTCTCACTGTGTCTCTGTCAAATAAATAAAATCTTTAAAAAAAAAAAAACACTAGATAATAGATACTTATAGAAAATCTGGAAAACAGACAAGCAAGAGTAAGAAAAATATGATGTGTAATCTGTTCTACCAGGTATATACCTGTTTGTTCTTGTCCCCATTTATAATTGTTGGACAGTTTTCCTAATCTGCAGTGAGACTTAGGGTGAGATTGATGATAATTTTTCATAGTCTCCAAAGATGTCCCCTAATTCCTCCTTACCCACTTGTTTCTTATTCTTTACCCACTGTTTCCTTGAAAGTGCCTCAGCCTATACAGTAAAGGTTTCATTTAAAGTTAGGGAGGTACTTATCCTTCATTTTCAGCACGATTATATGCATACCTTTTGTAGTCATACGGATGATGACTGTTGAAATAAAGAGCAGCTAGAGAGACCAAAGTTGAGAAAACAATTCATTTTGCAGAACACATTCAGTTTTGGGTGGCCCTATAGAGTAGTCATTAGCTGAAGAGCATTTGCACTGTGTGTGCAGTTGACTTTGCTCGTGTATGGCTCCCCTGGCCGGGCTTGCTCTCCTTGCCTGTACCGTAGCATGGCATGCCAAAAGTGGTTAACTCTGTGCTGTGGGGTTTTTCTTTTTATATTACGGAGTTTTTTAGTAAGGAAAACATTTCAGAAAACATAAGAGAAACAAATCTGTGCTTTGCAGAGTCGTACTAATAAGATATGTGTGTGTAAAAATTGCAACTGGACATCTGGTTTCTGGTGGAAGGATATTTGAGTTGTCATTTTCTTTCACTGAACAAAAGCTTATTTACCACCGTATGGTGTAGTGACATTAGGCTAGTCAGGAAGCATTTCTTAAAACTTTGTGCCCCATTGCTGGAATTTGTGTAGAAGGAAAATAAAAAATAGCTGTGTAGGCTCTGGCTGCTGCTTGGTATACACGTGCAGGAACAAGTGCATAAAAAGAGAGATCTGGCCATTTCTGAAGCTGGTCACCTG